ACAAATATTTGTACAACTACATAACATATCAATTTTAATATCTAACTTAATCATTTGTTCTCAGCAGACTCAAATAAGAGTCAAGTGTGGCAGATAAGGTTAATATCACAACCGTAGATTAGAAGCTGTCGTGGTGATAATTTACAAGTAACAAGAGAGTGGAAAAAACCATAACATGGCAACAAGACTACTCGTAATTGTATTCTTGAAACCTAAAGCGACAGTATTGCATGCGTAATCTTGCATAAACAGTGACGCATCTATGGATTATGAGCTGCCTGACCTCCTGATTTAACCGAGGACAGAGAACAAATAGTCTTTGCTCTCAAGTATCAAAATCGCTTGTGACTGCAACCAATACCGCACACGAGGCGAAAATCACTGCATAGAGATACGAAGTCGAACCAATTCCTCTGTTCCGATTCCGACCTTAATGGCAAAAAAGAAGAGAATGCCCAAGTCAGGAGCACTGAAAGGCGGGTCAACTGACCTTGATAAGACTGCCGGAAAAACCGATAGTCGACTCAGATTCCAGACAAAAGAATGAAATGAAACGGAAAGAATTGTTTGAAGAAAGATACCGATTGTAACACGTACGTCGTGTATAAAACTATGAAGGGTAATTGAGCTCACGTATCGCATTATAACTAACTATTCTAAGATTACACATTACTCGAAATAAAAACTAAGTACATTAGACGCGTTTGGAAAAACCCAGGTGTCGTCTACGTTTAAAGTTTGTTTGTAAAAAATTACAAGTTTCATGTGTATAATTATGCGCATACATTACTGAGGTGTCAAGCTCCCGGAGTTTAGGATACGTTGATACATTTTTCAAGTAAATTTTATTACAATATGGGTGCGCCATTACCGCTAAACATAGAAACAGGTTACTTTTCATACACGATACTAATCAATCAAGTTAGGTCGTTAGGGAAAGTTTTATTGTAATAACACGTCCACTACTGGTACTTACAGTCTTTAATATTGTACAGTCTAACTAGTTTAAAACTCGATAGTGGAAAGAGGAAAATGTATAAACGGTGAAAGTACGCAGTGTGGTTTTAGCTGAAGGGATATTTGATAGGTATGGAAACCCTCGTATTTGATAAAGAGGGGATATAACACAATACGCAGTATAAGTGTGCCAGTTTGGGTCACCCGTTAGTACATTTTTAGGGAAATTAAATTGATTTATCTACCCTCGGGACACATTGTAGTGACTTGTGTTGTCGGGCGGTTCGTTTTAAAAGGAGGGAAGGCACGTTCATGCAGATAGTAAAGCATACGTGAATGAAATACGAGAACGTGTAAAATACAAAGTTTTTCTTGTGCGAATGTCAGAGCATTATGTACGTCATACTGATTAGCATGCTTAAACAAACTCGAATAATAAATACATGAGAATAGGTATTACTTCAACTAGTAACAGGAAAGAATTATCAGAAAAGCTTGTCTGGTTTTCACCGGTTCTTATGTTTATTAGAGACTAGCTAATGCCAACTATTATCTAACAAAAATACGTGTACTCTGATAATATTAATTCAGAGTGTTTTACGATTCTAATAAAATAATTACCAAATATAGAATAACTTAACCGTACCAACGCTGTTGAAACCATAAAAGTTACCAACCGCAATATAAAGACGAACATGGAAATAATAAAAAACACGCTATACAACGAAGACACCTTTCCACGGCCTCGAGCGAGAAAACAAAGCTAAATAAAATCGTGGCGATGATTGTAGGCGAGTATTTAAAAGGAACGCGCAATCGATTGCCGATCGACAACCCGCCAGGCCGGTCGAGCAGCTCGTATGTGTGTGAGCTGTACACACACGTGCACGATCACACCGGCACTAACGGATGTGGTCTGTCCGTCCGTCTATTTACCGAGAAGTATCTAAGCGAGCTCCATGGATGTCATATAAACGATTTATAATATACGGACGTTGAAAAATGAGTGGGAAAAGTCTAGTGTAACGGTAGGATGGGCACGCGCGAAAGAGCGTGTGATGTGAGCGCTACAATATAGATTGTAGACGTCATTACGGTGTTATCTAAAATGGAATGTTCCGAGTAATTAGGGAAATTTCTATGATGCATTTGTCATTCATCATTAGTTTAGTTTCGAATTATCATAAGTAAATTATTAAGTTGCGTATAAAAGAGAATACAACACGATAAGTTTTATTATAAAAGAAATTCACCATGTTGTTCGTAATTGCCAACCCTAGTCTCGAAGGCAAGCCAAGCGGAGTTACTCTATCGTTATCTGCACTAGCTAGTTAGATATAAGACTAGACTATACCTAGTTACTTCTTGACATAGCGTGTAAAGATAGGTCGAGGCGAACCGATGCGCTACACTACACGTCCTCTTTGTTTACGCCACGGTACATATGTATGTGTATAACTAACTATAAGTTGCTATGCGATATCTAAGTACCTTGCTAGACGGGTCGGTTCAAACTAACGACATTATGCTTACGTGTGGTTCAACAACCGCAAATGACAGAACATCTATGTACCTATCTTAATTTGCGTGTCATTCTTTCGCATGAAATTCATGGAGCTCTTTAAAAGGCCATTCAGCGGAGGACTTATACGGATTCGGTGGAAGGTTTGAGAAATGTTGCTTTTATTTCGAATTGCGTGTCTCGTACAAAGTACATAAATTCCGTTGCTAAGAGCGTTATGTACGTGAATATGTATGGGTAACCAGAGCCAACGTTCTAGACGGCGCACATTATTCATTTAGGTATACGAGTGGTCGGGGCGAATATAGATGTGTCATTTTTGGGAATTCGTCGCTGGGAGCGCGATACGTTTATTCTAGATTGCATCGTAACGTAATAGACGTCCGTGGCACTACTGCCTATTAATGAATACGGGACAACTACGATTGGTGAAGTTGCCGAACTTCGAAATGGACTGAGTTTGGTATACGCCAAGAATACTTAACGACATCATGAAACTGAGGAAACTTCCTATTTTCTCTCATCAAAGTTTTCGAAGGCAGTTTACATATTTGTTATTTCTGACTATACGAAATACTACGGCATAAAGATAAGTTTTGAATATTACTGACGAACGTTTACGTCAGACGCCGTCGGCAAAGCTAAACATTATTGGAAACAGCAATAAAACTTTTTTGCTGAAAACGAAATAGCGATAAATCGGCGAAAAACTTCGTCCAAAATTATGAAAACTCGAGCTTATGAAACAAACTCCAGCTACAATTTGGCGAACCTACTTTTATTAAAAAAAGACTACAAAATACAAACAAATTAATGAAAAGTTGCAAAGAATTCAAACAAGAGCAAAACCGAACAAATGAAAAAGCTAAATAGGTAAATAATAAAAGGTGGAAAGTTTCTAATGAAATCCATTGAAACTTCACCTAACAAAGTTTTGGTTAGAAACTGTTTTGTGTAGGTAGAGTTTCGTACTGATTTTATTTTTTGTAAGGGTTTGAACAATGTCGTGTGGTTAGAATGGTAAAACCAGCGACCTATTGTATTAGTTAATAATACACAATTTACTCTTTTAATCGCGTGTGCGTACTTTTTAGGAAAACTTCGTCAAATATTTTACACTGTTGTTTTTATTGTATCATTTCACTTGCTATGTTTGTCAGATCAAAACTTGTTATGTCAAAGCACGACTTTAAAATGAAATTAATATCAAGTAAGTATTCATTATGGTCATTTTAAAAACTCGTATGATAGATTTGTAGTGTAACTTACGTCGAAGCAAATCAAAACGCGGTTTGTGCTTATTTTGTATGGTAATTTTCGAGTTGTATTCGTAACTTCACATCAAGCAAACTCAGAAACTAGAACCCAAAATTCAGAATAAGTTTGCATTACAATAAAAACCACGTTAGTTATCCATTATGACAAATAAACTGTGGTATATTATTTTTGGAACTCTCATCAAGTTTGTCCCAACTAACTTATGATAGCATTAAGTTTGTAGATATCTGCACCCAGTGTAATGAGTTAACTCGACACTACGGATGATTGCTGAAGTGGTGTTTCAATTCATTCAGTAAGTAGGTGAAAAGGTTATACGAATAAAATAATGTACAAGTTCAGTATATTTTACGAGTTCAAAACGCAATTGTTTAATTACGATTACGAATTAATACGTAGTTGCGTCTGGATAGTAATAAATGGAATAGTCTTATCTTAAAATACAAATAAGAAGTAATTAGGTACATTAAATTGACAAAATAATTGCTATTTCATTGAGTACAACTTGGATAAGTGTACATTTCTTATCGTTGGACAATTTTATCTCTAGACAGGTCATCAATATCACTTTTTGTATCAGTTGCGAAGTTCGGCGGCAATTTTATTCGAAGACAATGAAAATAAATTACGTATTTACATGTTACAATGAGTTTGAAAACTAAATAATTTATTATTCTTTCTTTTAAAAAGTACAAACAGATGTCGCAATTTGGTAGTGAATTGAATTTATCTGTTTTTATACTAGGTATTAACATTATGGTATTTTAAAGATCTCTACGTTCTTACCTGATAATGCCGCGTTATCACAAATCCATAAATACACGTACAATATTTAGATTGGATAACTCGTTTGAACGCACCTCCCACAATTTTACTGAATTAAGGTCATAACCGTTATGAGCACATGTTGGGAACTTTTCAAAAACTTGAAAACTTGAGTCAAAACTATTTTCGCTAAATTTAGGATTGGCCTATGGAGATTTCTAGAAAATTCAATTCACCAGTAACACGTTTTCTCACGCGATCAAGAGGTGACGCGTCGGCGTCGCCGCGAGAATAATGTCGTCGGCCGCCAGCCACCGCCACAGCAAAGCAATCACCGCGCCGCTAGAACCGCATCAATGACGCTAACACATTCTTGATAATAAAGCTTTTACATTGCATTTTATATCACTAAAACCTTCTCGAGGCACGTCTAACTCACTGAAACTACTTTGTTATTAGTAAATATCAAGAAACTCACCGTAAATAAGCCGATTCCAACAACAAAGAGTCACCAGCCACGCGCTCCAATTATAGGACACACACAAATCACGAAAGCACAAGAAGTTATAGTTATATTACTTCACAAAATTGTTAGTTATATTCACAGTCAGTTTACAAAGTCAATTTGAACTAAGTTTCCCAGTTTTTCGTGGATCAAATCACTGAACCGAGAAAGTATACCGTGAAGCACCGCCAGCTACATACAAAATGGCGGATTTGCGTAATGAAAGTGACGCGCTGACGCGCCGAAAACGCATGGACTAAAGTTTTGTCTATGGTCATAGCCATAAGAAAAAAATCCATCGATTTACAATCGATCGAGGGACGAAGATTTTTTGAATATATTTTTATTATTTTTTTCTTTCGTGATGTTTTAAAATACTTTTCCGAATTCATATGAATATTTATTTATATAAACTATAGACATCATATTCCTGACATAATGAAATTCCAACACCGAAAATATGTTTAGTTTTTTTATTTAGCATGTCTATTATTATGTTGGTTTGGTTGGCGTAAAGCGGTCTTTAGAAGTACAATTTGAGTTATTCAAACTCTATGGTTTATTCGTTATAGTCTGTGGTTTAAATCTGTTCGAATATTCGAACAATACAAAAATGTAAATACTTTTAATAAACTAACAAATTGACATTTATTAAAATACCTTTACGAAAATAAGAAATAGTGAATTTAAAGAAAATATATTTTCTCTAACTTGAGATTCTTTTCTTTATTTTTTTAATAAAATTAATGAAGTCGTCGAAAACGCACCAGACAAGCGTAAGCATTTATGGATATCAAGTTTCAAAACAAGTAGTTTCGTCTCACTCGCACAAAGACAAAACAAATATTCTTTCTGGCATTGTGGCATTTCATATTTGTCTTTTTATCTTTTACGTGTTCATCGTAAAAAGGTTTCGTATATTTTTTGGACATATCATTGTGAAATTATAGTTTTTGTTAATGTGATTAAATAATATCGTAGTTATTTCAAGCACGTGGACTTTTATTTCGTTTAAAAGTTTCACTACATTTATATATTTTGTTAAAATTCATAGCTACGTATGTTTTGCATTGTAATCCATTGATCAATCAGCTGAGTTTTGTTTTCATTTCTTAGGTTCTCACGAGGCTTCTTGTTATACAAGACTTTGTGACCGTGTTAAAGAGGATAAAATAGAAGAATTTTATCTTAAACGAACGAAAAATGAACGAAATAAGGTCTTTGGAACATTCAACGTTGAAGGTAAATTTAGCCCTAAGAGTTAGCCATGATACTTTATCGTTGTTTGCATTGATCATCCCAATATGGCTATTATTTATATTGTAATTAAAAATAGTTTAGTGTACGTTGCTTATTTAGTAATTTGACTGATAACATTCGATTTGAATGAAGTGACTGACCCTTTGACCAAGATAACTCTTGTGGCCTACTAAGTACGCATTTGCAAACCAAATTGATTTAATTTGTCATTCAAGTCGTGAAATAAAGTTTAACTATAGATAATAATTACAATGTTTAAAAGGATGAAAAATGAAAAATGTTGATATGTAATTTATCTAAATAGATACAAATATAAACACTATTTTAGGTGCCCTATGAAGTGTTCAACAAACGATATCGCAATGCCCAACGTGTGTTTGACGTGGAGGCCCGTCATGTGGGTACTGTGGCCACAGAAGTAGACAATGCTACAAAGAAGCAAGGAGTGACTTCCGGAGAGATTGATACTCTTCTTGGTGGCATGGTAAGAAGATGAACTAAGTATTAGTTAATATTAACAATGATTCTCCAATGATCTCATTAGGATCTCTACAGTATGTTTAGGTACTATTATTGATAGTAACAAAACTTACAGCTCACTTATAAAAAATCATCATCACTACATATTATAAAAGTCACTATCCGCTGTCTGTCTGTCCCTATGTATGCTTAGATCTTTAAAACTACGCAACGGATTTTGACGGGGTTTTTTCAATAGATAGAATGATTATTAACCCATTAAACTGTCAAACACCAAGCGGTCACCGGTGACCGCAACCTATTGTTCTATAATTGTGTCTAGAATGACGGTACTCGACGAGTTAAAGGTCAAATAAAAAGTACCAATATATTTTTTTAATTTTGTTTATTTTCGTAATCAACTGAGAGCATAAGAACAGTAAATGTGAGAAAAAAATTAAAAATAGTATATTTCATGAAAATTCAGGGGTGTACTCAATTGAGTACACTGACTACCTAAGTATGAAAATTTTCAAAACACGATATTTCTACACAAAGTGTTTTTAGCACTTTTTACATTGCCAACATACTCTTGAATGACAAAGGACACATCATAGTTGCTTTTCAATTTTTTGTGGATAGTGTCCAACTACATCTTGACGTAGCTTCAACAACTGATGCAGTAGGTTCACCTTGGCGTAAATAATATCGTGCAATATAACGTTGAAACATTAATTGGCCCATCGGATTTTCATTCCACATTACATGTAATCGCCAAGCGTTAGTAATGGCCATATCTAACATGTAGGTGAACAAGACGCACCACCATTTCTTACCGTGAACAGTAATTCTATATAATACGACAGACTGGTCAAGTTCATCCACACCTCCCATATTTTTATTGTCAATTTGGAATAAACGTGGTATTGCTACGTCTATCTTTTCCTTTCTGATTAGACACCACCTTTTCACAGTGCCGAAAGTTTATCCAGGGACCAGTTTTTTGGTGCCTGGATAAAAAACTTCAAATCTAAGGAATCTATTTGAAAATTATCAGCTCACGAATATCGTCATCAATATTTTTTTCTAATATTTGTACAGGATTTAGGCCCTTTGGTAATAGCACTCTTCTTGTCACTAACTTCGGATTTAGTTTGGAAAATCGAAAAGTATGAGGGAGCACATTTCCGAAACGTAGGGTTTGATTTTGAAGTAGATTGGCAGCCTATGTCTAGTCGTCTCTTTTTTGCTGCTAGCGGTTTATCGTCACTATCGTCGCTGCTATTATCTTCTTGATTACTAAATACCTCAATAGTACCAGGTATATCCTGCGGTGTAAAAGTGGCCGTCGTATCGTCATCAGCACCTTCCTCTTCATCTGTCAACACGGTTGTGTCAGGTAGTATGATAGCAAAGTCACAGTCATCATCTTCGCTGTCCTGTAACACAACTTTGATAGATTCTTGAACCCCATTGTAGTAAGTTTGCAATGTAAACTGAGGTCTCTTCATTGCAAAGTATCTAAAAAAAAAAAACAATAATTTTACTCACATATGTTGTCATTGTACTCAACTGAGTACAGTAATATTCACATGATCCTAGTTTTATTTCAGTAATGTATAATTACTTATTCTTTTTTTTATAAATTACTTTGATATTATATCTATACCCGTGAAGTAAAAAAACTTATTACTAAGCACTAATTTATCAAAAATATCCAAAAATAATTACTTACCTCCACGCCGTTTCGTTCACACAAGTTCAACTGACATTAAATAGAAAAAAATATCGCACTACCCACATATAATTTATCAATGTAGTTAGACAATTTTATAATAAATTAAGATAATAGGGTTACCCTACATAAATACAAGAGATATTAAGTTTATGCGTAGAATTTGAGGTGTACTCACATGAGTACAGTGACTTCTAATGGGTTAAGGAAGTTATATATGTATAATAGATGCATATTGCACCCGCACGAAGCGGGGGCGGGTCGCTAGTTATGAATAAATCCACTAATTATTTTATACATTTTCAGGTTGAAAAACTGACAACAATGAAGCGTAAGGCATCTGAAGCTATTGCGGAGGAGGTGCAAGCCGCTTATGTTTGCAAGAAGAGGCTGGAGCACCTGAAGGAACAAGCAGCCGCACTTACTGAACCTAGCACTCCACAAGTCAAGGTACTTCATGTGATGGTGAAATGAAGCACCTAAAGCATGATATTTTACAGCATATGACAGTGAACGGAGGTTGAAAATAATAAAGGTAGATGGTTCAGCATTAGATTCCTTCTAAATGTTCTTTTCTGTCTTTTCATAGGAATATTTTTAATGATAAATAATCAAAACATTAGAATAATCTTAAAAAAAGAATGGATTGATGGGACTGAATGGGACAGTAAGTAAATAAATAACTGATTGCCTGAGCTGTACCATGTTGAATGTATTCTAAGTACAGTCAATTTCAATCAAGAATCAAGTTCCATCTTATAAAAGATTTTTTTATCTCCTTATATCCCTGCAATCTGCCCATTTGGGCATTTAGCTGGTAGTTATAAGGTTCATATATTGTGACATGTACGGAGAAGACCCAGTGGTGTACCTGTCTTCAATTATTGCATCCCTCGAGTTGGATGTTGTTGCTGTGACAGGAGAAGGTACTGTGGAGCTCTCCTTTTGATGCGCTTAAAGGTGCTGACAGACTTCATAAGCTCACTAGCAAGCTCGTTGGTGTGACTCCTTATGCAACGAGAATACGACTTAAGTTTGCTTGTGACTTCCTCTTTCACTGATCTTATTTTTAACTCTCGGTGTAATTGGGTATTACTTATATACTATGGGGAATTTGCAATCATTCGAAGTATTTTTGATTGGAAGCATTGTATAATGTCAAAGTTTGAGTTGGCTGCCGTTCCCCAGAGTTCTGATCCATATGACCATATTGGTTTTAATATAACTTTGTAAAGGAGAAGTTTGTTGCTTAGTGACAGGTTTGACTTTCGTGCCATGAGCCCGTAAAAATTGCGAAGTTGTGTACTTGTAGCTTTCCTTTTGGTGAATATATGCTTCTTCCAAGTTAACTATTTGTCCAAGTATATTCCCAAGTAACGCACGTCGTCCAACTGAGGAATTGTTATGCTATTGAAAACAACTGGGGGACATGATGGCCGAAACAACATGCTACAAAAAAGCCTTAATGGCCGAAACGTCATTAAGGCTTTTTTGTAGCATGTCAGACGCAGCCACGGGACAATCGTGTGCTACAATAAGAGCAGTATCATCAGTGCATGTCCCTACGAGGACGTCGTGGGCAGTTGTTAGTTCAAAAGTATGTATCAGGTATAAGATAGGACCCATTACGCTGCCCTGAGGAACACCTGCTTGAATTTTATAAAGATTACTTCTGGCTTCTCCATGTTTTACATAGAAATGTCGTTGTTGGTTGTTAACTGTTGACGTAGTTGATTTGATGATGAGATAGGTGTTGATTGGTAAGGCTTGTAGGATTTTAAATAAGAATCCCTCGTGTCACACACCATCGAAGGCTTGGGATAGTTGCGATATGTCTAAGAAAGCCGCTGAGCAGTATTTGGTTCATGGTTTATCTTTTCAACCAAACGATGTACCTGTTCAATTGTCCCATGAGCTTTGCGAAAGCCAAACTGATGAGTAGGGATTAATTTGGCTTTCGCGAGCTCTGGAGTTTTGAGGCAACAGACGAGAGACTTATCGGTCGATATGATGATACATTTTCCGGATCCTTCCCAGGTTTTGGAATGACAAAAATTTCTGCTACTTTCCATTGAGCAGGGACGTATTCATATCTTAAGATTGAGTTATAAATAGCTGTTAATAGGGTTATTGCTTTGTGAGGGAGTTCTTTCATCACCTTAAATGTAACAACGTCATAACCAGGCGCTTTATTCAGTTTTCTGATTATAGATATAACCTCTTTTTTAGTGAATTTTTTATTGGGGGTGCAAGTTGATGCGGTGCTGAAAGAGCCTCCAGTACTTCACCCACCTTTGTTGAACCCGAACTTGGATTTGGAGTAAATACTCTTGACAAGTGTTCTGCAAACAGTGCGGATTTGTCTGTGTCGCTTTTAGCGCAAGAGCCGTCATCCCGTCGTAAAGGTGATTGGAACTCAATTGGTCCTTTCACGGATTTGGTCACTTTCCAAAGCGAGTAATCAGTAGCAAGTGTTGCATCCATTTTAGACAGACGATCTTCCAGGCTTTTGATTTTTATCGTCAAAATGATATTTTTCACTTGCTTGGTTAGATAGTTAGGTTTTTCCTTGTCACTGGAGTGTCGAGTTTGTTGTCACAGTTTCTTTCTTTGTATTATATCCGTAACAATTTGCGGATACAAGAGAATAGTATTCACAGCTCGTCTGAGCGGAGTGGCATCCCAAGCAGCCGATTGAACGCATTGGTTAAAGATCTCTACTTCTTCTGTAATGTCCTCGTCTGATTTGAGAGGAATGCGGTCGTTAAGGGTACTTTCTTTAATTTCTCTACATAGGTCCCAATTGGTGTTCCTTGAGTGCAGTTTGCAGGGTCTGACAACTTCAACGAGGTCATTTTGGAGCTTCGCTGTGTGGTCCGAGGAAATAAATTATGACCACAGGGTTACAGTTTGTGGAGTTCATTTTCTACCTACACTGAACAGACGTTTTTTTGGGGGGAAATCATCGAATGACTCCCGCCTGGGTGAGGCGGGAGGAAGTGTCAGACTCTTATTGACTAAAAACCACCCCGTTCCTTCTCCTGCACGTCGAGCCGGAGCCCCGGTTACCCGTTAGGTTCTCCGCGACTCCGAATCGGCATCGGCCCTATTGGGCCTCATCTGTGGTTAGGTTTGAATTGGTCTGGTTCGATTACCGCCGCCAGAGACTCGGCGTTTTCGCTCGTTTAACACCTCCCGGGGACACGTGTAGGGTGGGCCTAAGAAAAGGTGGTAAGTCCTACGGGAGCGATGATCGTCCCCCTTAATAAACATAACATAACACGCCTTTTATCCCCGAAGGGGTAGGCAGAGGTGCACATTATACCACTGTACAATGTAACACCCACTTTTCACTATTTACGTTATGAGTCCCATGTATTAGGGGGTGAGCCTATTGCCACATACCGTCCCCCATATTAAATATATAAAAATACCAGAGTAGTAGTATACAATGAAAATTTAACCATGCACTATTAAACTGTGATGGCATAATTAATTTTTACTAGCTGAATCAGCAACCTTCGTTCCGACTAAAAAAAATATCTGGACTTTTAAACCTTCCCTGGATTTCCACGAACATTACACGACAAAATTGGCTAATCGGTTCAGCTGTTCTCGAGTTTTAGCGAGACGAATAACCTGAAACTCATTTTTATTTATATAGATTGTAAACTTATAGACAACAACCCACAGTGAGATAATTCACGAGGTTTACTGGCTACGTGGCCACCACCAGTTGCATGACACAGCTATGTATATTATAAATAACTTATGTTTGTACTAAGGCTTCATTCACATCGCAGACGAGTTTGAACCAGTGGCGCAAGGTACGACTGGACAGAATGCTCGTCGAGTACTTCCTGCGCAACGGCTACTATGACTCGGCTAACAAACTAGCTGACGCTAGGGGACTGAGGGAGCTTACTAATGTTGGTAAGTAACATTTGTATGTTGTAAACAAGAAATGTTATTGTTAACATTCCTTGTTTGAAGTTAATTATTACTAGCTGACCGGGCAAACTTCGTACTACCTAAAAGTACCTTCCCTGGAGTTCTACGAACATATCAAGAACAGAATTAGTCAAATCGGTTCAGCCGCTCTCGAGTTTTAGCGAGACTAACGAATGGAAATTCATTTTTATTTATATACTTAGATGTTTTTTTACACTATGATATTCTTCTGTGCTGTAGGTACAAACATACAAATTTACATACACATGACACCCAGACCCAGAACAATAATCTGTGGATCACACAGAGTTGTTCCGTGCGGGAATCGAACCCGCGACACGTGGGGCGGTAGCCAGTTTCTCAGCCACCGCGCCAATTGTGCAGTTACATTGTTCTTGTCAAATATTACCCGTTGAGTTTGAGAAGCATCTAGCTTTATTGGGTCAATGTATTGTTTTGGGTCAATGTATTGTTTTGGGTCAATGTATTGTTTTATAACTGTCTTCTGAATTGTTTTCTACTGCTTCTTCCAGTAGATTATCCTTAATAATATTATAAATCGGAAAGTGAGTTTGTTTGTTTGTTCCACTTTCACGCCGTAACTACTAAACCGATTGCTTTGAAATTTTGCAGACGTAAAGTTAGAAGTCTGGATTAAATAATAGGGTACTTTTTATCCCGGAAAAATTTGATATTCTCGAGGGGAAACGAAATTATTGGTATAGATGTCGCTGTGTGTATTGGTATATGTGACATAGGCTACTTTTTATCCTTTTGTGACGCGAGCAAAGCCGCGGGTAAAAGCTGGTTATTAATAATCGCTGTTCCCATTCTAGATATCTACACGGTAGCAGCTGAAGTAGAGGCGGAGTTGAACTCGCAGCGCACCGCGCGCTGCCTGCAGTGGTGCGCCGACAACAAGTCCAAGCTGAGGAAACTCAACTCTACCATGGAGTTCAAGATACGGATACAGGTATTGTGAAACTAGCACTTATTATAGTTTGCGAATAGGGTAGATGCCAGGATATGAAAATTAAAAATCTAATTAGTCCGTCAGTTAGATAATGAAAAAATGTTAGAAACGTATTTATTTGTTTTCTCGCATATACTTACAATACAAAAATAAAATGGCGTTAAGTTTGGAGGAGTGGGATGTCGTTACGTCACAACGTTGTACAAAATGTAGCACACTGTGACGTCTCACAATATTTCAAATTCTTTTCTTTTTTTCTTTTTAAAAAAAAACGTTGCCCCACATTGGGATTTTCTCCTGTGTCGTGGGTGCGTTTACAAACATACAAGTTCACATACACATGACACCTAGACCCGGAACAACAATTTGTGGATCACACAAAGAGTTGTTCCGTGCGGGAATCGAACCCGCGACACGTTGCACGGCAGCCGGTTGCCCAGCCACCGCACCAACCGTGCAGTCAAAATTAATATACCATCGAAATTATTTAAATTTGTGAAAAAAGAAAAAAATACGTGTGTAGTGTTTTAAATTAATCTGCCAGACGGTATTTAAAATAAAATTTAAGAAACAACAACAAATATTATGTGGGTTATTTTTGGAACTCTTATTCTAGAGTAGCTTCTGCCAGTAGCTCTGCCCGCGTTCCTTAGGGATACAAAATAGCCCGTGTATTACTTACTTAAGACTCTATACTCTGTTCCAATTTTCAATTTCATCTCAGTCCCTTCAGCCGTTAATATGTGACTGAGTATCAAACATACACACAACCTCACATATTTTCGCATTTATAATATCGGTTCAATCTAATGTCAACCATTTTGGGCAACCTAACATTCGACAAACTTATATTTGCGTTTGTTGCAGTAACTTATCTAGGGATCGAGCCGCACAATTACGTTTGTTTTTGTTACAGCTAAAGTGATTAATTAGTATTATTCATAATGACTGATCATTATACATAGTAAACAGATTGCTTAGTCAATGTGATAAATTAATCACTTAACCCAGATATTATAAACTAGATATAAGAAAACGATACTCAAGGCGATAAATTAAAAATTTCGTGCAGCTGCCATCTTGGATTTACATTTTGACAGCACCATCATTTTCACCACCCTCGAAAACTATGCATAGTAATACAGTGAAACCTGGTAAAGTGAGACATCAAGGGACCTGCAATGTCGTTTCACTTAAAGAGGTATTCCACTTACCCAGTGTCTCAGATATACAGGTATAAATAAACTGTCTCATTTACAGAGGGTTCGATTAATAGAGGTGGACTTGGAATTACGTGTGGAATTTTTGGGTAGAATAAGAATGAGTAAACAAACAATGTTATCTCAGTTACAGAGGTTTATGCATATAAAATTTACTCGCTGTCTCAGTTATAGAGGTAACTATGATGATAAATCGAAAGAACAAATCCGAGATATAGAGGTTTAACTCATCCCACTAACAGAGGTAATTCAGTGCCAAAGTGTTGGGACCTTAGCGTGAGTTCCAGTTATGGAGGTTTCTCACTTATCCAGGTCCCACTTAACCAAGTTTCACTGTACCTATGACGACTTTATGTAGAACGTCTCGCATCGACAATACTACTATTGCAGGACGTCTGACATTGAGAATTCGTTCAGCCGCCGCGCTGTATCGCAAAACACCCCTGCTCATTTATACCAACTTGTTTTATTATTTTATCCAAGTCCTCGAAGATATTATTCATAATAGCTAGTCAATGTGATTAATTCCGCTTCATTTATCACTTTGACCAAATTCTGTAGATAAGTTGAATTAAGTATAATGACCAGAGGCATTAGTACGAGTTTGATTTACGTTTAAAGTATTCGAAACGAGTTCGCGTTCGGCATTCTGATTGGTCGGCGCCAATGAACCAAACAATCACAGCGCCAAACGCGTACTTGTTACGTAAAACAAACTCGTACTAAGACCTCTGGCATTATGAATAATATCAATTTATTAACTTTGGCTGTAATATATAGATTTTGAAGTGTTGAACTTCTGTTAAATATTGATTCAATATTGTAGAAGTAATAAGTTTACCAAGTCACTAGACTACTTTCAAGCAAAACGAAGCGAGGGGATCATAGCCTTGAGCAGCGTTGCGCGACAAATGAAAATGACATGATGGGCGTCACATTTTCATGTCTGATCGGTTGTAAGATATCTTGATTACATTTTATATAATTCTTGCAGGAGTTCATAGAGTTGGTTCGCGAAGACAAACGCTTGGAAGCTGTCAAATACGCGAAGAAGCACTTCTCCACATTCGAGGAGGACCAGCTTAAGGATATACAGCACTGCATGGGCATGCTCGCCTTCCCCAAGGACACAGGTACGGTCTTTGGTACAGTGTGCGCGGAACTAGGTGGCTTTAGGTATGTGTCACTACCTAAAGCGCCGCCAACTAGTTCGGCGCGCACTATATGTACATTGTACAGTCTTCAACGGTACATAGATATTTTGCTGACATTAAGATCGGTACGATCGTGCGATATTGCTTAGGTATATAATCACATGTCAAGTATTTATCGACGAGAGTGTGTTTTTACTAACAACGAAGTAAACACCTAATGAGAAAAGAATTGCCAACTGTGCTATACTGTACTACAGTTGGGTGCAATAAACTTTATAGTTACATTATCCGAGTGATCTTTTCTCTGCACACTCCAACATCAACTACAAGTGTACGAATTGTACACTATAAATAAAATAATAATAATCTACCTAAAATCGCGGGTTTCTCACGTCAATATAATTGAGAAAAGCTCTACTAGTTTCGAACCACAGAGGGGTTCTTCCTCATGAGCATCGTGCGCGGTCGCGGCGATAGTTCGAACTTAGTAGAGCTTTTCTCAGTATATTTGCGAGAGTAGTCCGCGATTTTAGTTAATTTAGTATGTCTTACGATAGTTATTACAAAATAATAATAGTAAAATTATTTTTTTATTACCTAATTGACGGATTAATTTGATTTTTAATGTTTATACCCTGTCATCATCCTTATTGCTTCATCACTATCTACAAAATAATACACGAGACGACAATACACAAAACTCATTTATTAACTTTTATTTGATTAATGTTGTAACTCGTTATAATGATAGTAATAAGCATAGAAGACACAGAAGAAAACACATTAATTACATCAAGTGAAACAATGAATTTATTTTTTCAAATAGGTTACGAGGCAAGTTTTTTACATGTAAAGTTTATCAAGCGAACGATGGGACTGACATTTCCTAACTGACTACTCTGAGAAGAAATGCCGAAACAAATACAGAAAATCCTTCATCGTTCTGTCATTGATATTTGATTAATGATTCTGTTACAGAAGTAGAGCCGTACCGCACCCTGCTGCAGCCGGGGCGCTGGGAAGGGCTGGTGAAGCAGTTCCGCTGGGAGCACTCGCGCCTGCTGCACCCGGCGCGGCTGGCGGCGCTGCCGGTGGCGCTGCAGCTGGGGCTGGCGGCGCTGAACACGCCGCAGTGCTACAGCGCGGCGTCGCGCGTGGCGGCGTGCCCGGCCTGCGCGCCGCCGCTGGCGACGCTGGCGGCCACGCTGCCGCACGCGCACGTGTCGCACTCGCGCCTGCTGTGCCGCATCTCGCGCGCGCCGCTCAACGAGCACAACCAGCCCATGGTGCTGCCCAACGGACAGGTCTACGGGGAGAAGGTCTTTTACACTCTCTTCTTGTTTCTATCGGATAGCGAATTTCGCTCTCACTTTAATGTATTCAAGACTGCCTCGTTGACCGAGTGGTCGCAAGTGTAACTGCCATGCAAGGGGTCTCGGGTTCAATTCCCGGGTCAGGCAAAGTACTACTAGGTTTTTAAAATTCTCAGTAGTAGCACGGAGTCTGGAGTTGTGCCCGGTATATGGCATAGGCTCACCCCCTATTACATGGGATTCATGACATAAATATTGAAAAGTGGATGTTACATTGTACAGTGGCATTAAGTGCTATAATGTACACCTTTGCCTACCCCTTCGCGATAAAAGGCGTGAAGTTATGTATGTTCTTTGATGTATTTAAGAATAGTTTTCGACATCACAAAGCTTACTTTTTCAGATATATCAAATAGACTCCTACTTACCAACTTCAAAAAATAAAACAGAATTGGAATCTAATCAACAAAACATAAATTAAATAGGTGCAAGCAGAAAACTAGCCTGAAATAAAACTTAAATCTTTATTAAACTATCAAACACCAACCGGTCACCGGTGACCGCAACCTATTGTTCTATAATTGTGTCTACAAAACCGATACTCGACGAGTTAACTATACCGCTTTCTTAGCTGATTTTATCTAAATAATAATTTTCTATTTTCCAGGCCCTAAAAGAAATGATGAAGGAGCACGGGTCCATCATCTGCCCCAAGACCAAAGAGGTATTCTGTATGAAACGCGTCGAGAAAGTGTATGTAATGTAAACTCACTCTTAGCATTGTACAATGTACTGTACATACACCTTTATACTGTATGGTACCTACCAGCATTTATCAATGTCAGATACTTGTACTAATTTTAAAATTAAAATGTGTCTCAATTTGATTGGCGTAGCGTATATCGTTTTATTAATAAGGTCTTTTTAATTTAAATTTATATTAAATACTCATTTGGAAATCAGTTCTATGAAAAGACATTTTATAGATATTGGAACGTAGAAAATTATTGATGTTCTTGGAATCTTAAAAAAAACAGGTGAAGTTTTAATCTCCGGTCTTTAATTGACACAATAAATGGCTTTGCTTGTCTTGTCTCAGAAATATAAGTCCCCATACCATTGTCGGAATACTCAAACGCTACTCAATTTTAAGTCATGCTTAAGTATAGTTCTGTCCCTACAAATTCTTTGTGAAATGACAGAGATGACACGATATTTAAGCACGACTTAAAATTGAGTAACGTTTCTGTATTCCGGCACATGTCTCCTATAATATTTCTGTTTAGTATTATTTAAATATTAAATAAAACAAATAGGTAATAGTAATTTTTAATACAGTTTGTTACTCAACATATTTGCAAAGTCAATGCATATACCAATTATTTTGTCTATGTCTAATAATGGATTCTTTATCCTATTATCACTACTGCATACATCTATAATTCTAATAGCGATGTTCTATTTCTACCATAAATAATGAATACACTTTTTTTAGCTTACCACAAACCGTTTACATATTTTATATTCATCAAACAATTAAGTTAACAAATATAAAAGGCCTATAGAATCTCTTATTGACTTTTTGTAGTTTTGTAATACCATGCAATAAGGGTACTATAATATAATAATAGGGTAGTTTCCTAAATTTTATTTCAATGTCCGTCTGGTAGATTAGTTTAAAACATACAAACATACATAACCTCACGCGTGTCTCCCATAGGGGTTGGCAGAGACTATGGAACGCCAATTGCTACGATTCCTATCATACCTCTTTCGCTTCATCAACAGTCATCAATCTTAATTTAATTTAACACATTACACAGATATTTTTCCTTTTCTTACAAAATTACTTACAACGATATATTTATTTCCCATATCTTTTCGGCACACGAGACGTCTCTCATGCTACATTTTGTAGCACTTTGTGACGTCTCTACTTCCCGCTCCTTAACTCCATTTTATCTAACTATTGTAACTTTAAACGAAAAAATACATGTCTAATATTTTTTCATCATCTAACTGACGGACTACTTAGATTTTTAATTTTCATACCCTGTCACGTAAGATAAGTGCGTGGCGGGATGAGCTCCGGCGCGATCTTATGGCGATATGGCAGCAACGACTGTCGCAACCGAGGGCTGGGCTCGCTGCCATCGCAGCGGTAAGTCCCCTCTTTGAGGAGTGGCTTGAGAGACGCTACGGCGTCCTCATCTACCGCCTGACGCAGGTCCTCACCGGGCATGCAAGTTTAGGGAGGTACCTGTGTCTGATGGGGCGGGAGGAAACGCCCGGGTGGCATCACTGCAGGGACCGCCCTGAGGACACGGTGGAACACACAGTGGGAATGCCCTGCGTGGGCTGAGCACCGCTGTGCCCTCAGGGACGTGACGTCCAGCTGTAGTGCGGGTCATGATGCGGAGCGAAGGGGACTGGGATGCCGTCTCCTCCTTTTGCGAAGCAGTCATGCTAGCTAAGGAGGAGGCGGGACGCGTGAAACAGCGAAGCACTGCCTCCTCGCAACCCAGCCATCACGACGGACACACCGGGCGTCGGGGATCACGGGACGATCTCCAGCCACCATAAGCGCGGGCCTGCCTAAAACCAGACCCGAGCGTACGGCGCGTCGCGATTCGCGCGCACCTCAAAGACCCATCAGACCACCACAGATGGGGCCCAATAGGGCTGATGCCGATACGGAGGCGCGGAGAATCTAAGGGGTTACAGGGGCTCCGGCTCGAAGTGCACGAGTAGGAACGGGGTGGTTTTTAGTCAGTAAGAGCCTGACACTTCCTCCCGCCTCACCCAGGCGGGAGAAGTCATTCGATGATTTTCCTCCCTTAAAAAAAACCCTGGCAACCCTATTGCAAAATAGTTTACTATTATATGATGAGCCGTAAGTGTTCGTAATAATATATCAAACGTTTAAAATTTTATATCCCAGTAGTTAAGAATGATGAAGAAGTAGTTCCGAGTTTTCTATAGTATCCAACCGATATAATCTATATGTAGTATGTAAAGACACTTAGATATAAAATTATGGTTGCTAATTATATTATGTTTCGAAGCAAATTGTAAATATCGAATTTTTATCACGCAGTGCCATTTTATTCAACCCCAACACAAGTATTCTTGAACCCCGACCACGTTTTACTAAGTCATTATTAAAAGACAATTTTAATTGCTTTCTGCTTAATATTAAATGAAAAGTAATTATGATTCTGTCCATTTTATAAAACTTTTAGTGTGTTTCCTACAATTTGTACCTCATATCGTGATTTTTTTTGTTCAAAATACTAGACTTTGATTATCAAAGCGAACTGTTAGATATATTGACTTAGCATGTAAAATTATAATTATAGACTCATTGTACAATATACTTACTTTGTTACGTGAGCAATAAATGAAAATCAAAAAATGTATGTGTTTTTTATTATTTCCTGAGCTCTACAACAATATATAGCTATTCGTACCTCGACAAGTTTTGTGTTACACGACACTTGGTTTTCGCCAAGACTAGAAGTAGAAGAGCATTTTAGAAGGCGGCCCGCTTTGTGCTAAGGTCATTCCCACCCGATCCCTACATCAGCAAATATTATGCAATTATTAGGAGTATGTTTTATAACTTTCGTGAGACATACTAAATAAATTATTATGTTTTCGGCTTACTCACGTAATTATTTTATACATCATTCATCAATTTTAAAATAGTCTAGTTCCTCGTCAAATAATTACGTGAGTAAGCCGAAAACATAATAATTTATTAGGAGTATCACCAAGCATACATTGTCCCTGAAGTCGGTATCAAATGCCACCAGATAATAGGCAAGGTTCCAACAGTTATCAGAAAAATATAGGAAAAATTCCTATTCATATAGTTTTTAAATTACAAATACTTATGTGTAATCCACGAAAAAGTACACAGCCAGTCTTTTGACTGGAGTCAACAGACTGGAGTCTGTTGCTGCAATTCTTTGTTTTGAACCTTCATCAACATTAACTATTACATCCCTATAATAAACGTAAAATAATTTGATAAAAGAAAACCAAAGGAACATAAGCACAAAGAACATATTTTTAAAATCAGTAAGATCTAGTTCATTGACTAAACAAACATGCATACAAATCATATATTGTATTATTATTGTCGTTGCATATAAGATGAAGATGTTGAGATCAAAATGTGTGTCGCGGGCCACATGAAAACAAGCCGCGGGCTGCATGCGGCCCGCAAGCCTTTGTTTGGGCAGCCCTGATCTACATAATAAATAAATAGAATCAAATAAAGTACAAATCCTAGGAACTCAGTTATTATTAACAACAACCTCATATATTACTGTCCACTATTACCACAGATGGGGTCCAATAGGGCTGATGCCGATTCGGAGTCGCGGAGAACCTAACGGGTAACCGGGGCTCCGGCTCGACGTGCAGGAGAAGGAACGGGGTGGTTTTTAGTCAGTAAGAGTCTGACACTCCCTCCCGCCTCACCCAGGCGGGAGCAGTCATTCGATGATTTTACCCCTTAAAAAAAAACTGTCCACTATTGTCAATGTCATCAATGTGTGCAACGCTCGCGTCATTGGTGTCGTCTGCAAGAGTGCATGCGCACGGTACTGCCAGCTGTCGCGGCCGCCGCCTACGCCGCACGTACCTACTCGTCCGGAACACACAGCCGTAATTCCTCCAGTAGGGCGGGGTTGTGCGTTACGCCTTATCTCCAGTTAGTAAAATCCTACCATACCTAGTACGAATAACGTTGAGTATAGTATTTTTTTTATAGCTTAAGCCGGTAAACGAGTAGACGGATCACCTGATGGTAAGCAATCAGCGTCGCCTATGGACTCTCAAAACACCAAGACGTTACAAGTGCGTTACCGGCCTTTTGGGAATTGGGAATTTGAGGATTGTGGAGGATTCGGGAGACGGGGACTAGGGTAATTGGGCCTCCGACTAGTATTGGGTACCCTGGGTATACACCGTAAGATTTTAAATATACGAATCTAGCAAACTTATTTTGTATACGTTCTATCATATTTGTCCTCGTGTGGACTCCGATACCGGCATTACATTTCCAGTGACATAACATAACATAACGCCTTTTATCCCCGAAGGGGCAGATAGAGGTGCACATTGCGGCACTTAGATAATTCCACTGTACAATGTAACACCCACTTTTCACTATTTATGTTATGAGTCCCATGTAATAGGGGGTGAGCCTATTGCCATATACCGGGCACATTTCCAAACTCCGTGCTATTACTGAGAATTTCTTGAAAAAACCCAGTAATACTTTGCCCGACAGTCTCACTTGCGACCACTCGGCCAACATGGCATTCTCTGTGACTTACAACTAAAACGTCGTTCAGCGCCCTTGGAGCTGCGATGTTATTAAACTTGTTTGCCTGACTTAAAATATAACCTAGATTGCGGTATGCCTTCTTGCAGACATCCATAATATGTTTCCCAAAGTGTAATTCTGATACAGAATGAACTCTTTCAACTCCGTAACGCGTTGCAACGGTTCACCTTCCATGCACTGGTGGTGACGAGGACTGCTTGCGCAAGTGAACAAAGTCAAAGCATTTATATTTTAATTAAATTGTCAAACACCAAGCGGTCACCGGTGACCGCAACCTATTGTTCTATAATTGTGTCTACAAAACCGGTACTCGACGAGTTAAACCATATTTTGGTACTTTGAAACGTCAACAAATACAAAATAAATAATAGTCTGTCAGTCAGTCCTTCAGTGAAGCTAGGTGAAGCTAGGTGGTCATTCCAAAGTGTAGATTCGAATGGAGAAGAACGAGCAAGAAACTCCATTCGTCTCTTTTTGAAAAAGTATGTTCTACTATGTCGAACGAGAGAACTGATCATTTAGCCGCGTTGAAATACAACTTGAATTCCCGGCTCCACTCAATGACTGTCGATATCGTGTTGCAAACTAACATGGTCCTCGTTATCCCTTATTTCGTGTATAAGTTTTAGATCATCGGCAAAAACTAGACACATCGACCCTTTTATTATGCTTAGTAGGTTTTTATTTATCATTAAATTAAACAGTAATGGACCTAAGTTACAGCCTTGTCTGACCCCGGACCTCGTGTAATACGGCTCAGAATAATGCCCGCCACAGTCCACGTATGTGCGCCTGTCTCTAAAGTACGGGGAAAAGAATTTAACGAGTGTGTAGCGTAAAGCCTATTCCAGCAAATTTCATAAGGAGGACATCGTGATCAACTGTATTAAAATGCCTTTTTGAAGTCTAGGTAAGCTACGTCCACCTGCCGACTGAAATAAGTTGCCCGTTGTTCCCCGACTGTATTAAAATGCCTTTTTAATACAGTAAAATGCCGACTGTCCTCAAGTAGGCGTACTCTATAATATATAACACTAATAGAGTACCTAAGCTAAAATATTCTTTTTTCCACAATGTTTGTTTAACTAGTGCCAGTCTGAATATGCAAGAACCCATGATCAGAATAAAAAGTCTATTATTTAAAGTTAATACCGGGTGGCGTGTGTACAGCGGCCCAAAGATTTTTCAGGTTGAGATCATTATATTTCGATGCAACTGATAAGTTGAACTAGTTTAGCTTTGTACCGTTTATTAGCAGGATGGATATGAAAGCAATCAAAAATGAAACAAAACATTGACTGATACGTTTTTATTGACTTTTAACATTTTTCTCTTAATAATAAAGTCGTAGAAACGACTAAAATACTCGTAAATGGCATTATTTATCACATTATATTTTAATGGCTACTAATTGTAGATACACGATTATATTTCATTAAATAACAAGTGCAGTGTCGTGACCAATTAAAGTATTACAAATCTTATGTACAATCTGTGAGTTGTAAAGACAAGAAAAGACCTAAACTTGTTATTAAAGGTGGTCCCTCACCGGGAGCATTCACGTGTAATGTAACATTATAGATTCGACTTCGAGCATTACATTACAATAATACCTCCCTGACTAACGAGCATTTGCGTGTAATGTAACATATAAATTCGACTTTTGAGTATTTCATAGCGAGATGTCAGACATTGATGTTACAAGTTGTATCAATATATTACACATTGTATCATTACAAGGTGCGCATTGTAATGCTCGGTTCTCCTCCTTCACTGATGTAATGCTCAGATCTGTACATGTTACATTAGACGCGAATGCTCCCGGTGAGTGAACACCTTAACTCATTGATTATAGAAATGTCGTAGTACAATTTGAATAAACTGATTTAAATGCACTGGCTACGTATACTAAGTCTGCATAGATTGGCAATGGCGAATGAAGTACCTTAATCTTATTTACATTTCGAATTACGTTCAACTCAATATTTCACTTCAAGTGACTTACACGTGTCTAATATTATTATCACCTCGTTTACCCTAAATTGAATATTACCAATCTATGATAAACTTCTAAATCTAACTAAAATGCATTACAGTTCATGATTAAGTGTATACTATGGAGTTATAATGTATGTACATAAACAGGATAACAAGAATAGGTGGAATATCGTGAACTTATAGTTATATATTAGACTTATTAAATTATTATAATCGTAAGTTAATAAGTCTACTAATAATAAGTTCATGATAAACCATCATTGTAAATAACTGCACCCATACAAGTTGACAATATAACAAAAAAGATTAGTTAACTAGAAAACTATCACAATAATTAAACAGTGGAGTTTGTACTATAACTAGAAGGGACTAAAGTATATTTTATAGTGGACACTGTGATACTCTTTGGACAGGAAATTCTGTGGCCTTAGTGAAAAAAGTACAAGTCCAATTTTGTCAAAGATAGGTTAATTATAACAAAATGAACTGAAAAACTGACTCGTTGGCCGAGTGGTCGCAAGTGCTGGGCAAGGGATCTTGAGTTAGATACCCCGGGTCGGGCAAAGTACAACTGGGTTTTAAAAAAAAGTCTCAGTAGCAGCACGGAATCTCGAGATTGTGCCCGGTATATGTCAATAAGCCCATTCCCTATTACATGGGACTCATAACATAAATAGTGGAAAGTGGGTGTTACATTGTACAGTGGCATTAAGTGCCGTGATGTGCACCTCTGTCTACTTCTTTGGGGACATAAGGCGTTATGTTATATATGATCAGAAATAATGTTTCATCATTTACCTATAAACACATTGCATGTATTTTATCAAGCAGATGTTTAAATGAACGAATTTGAAGGGCAAGACGTGTTTTTTGCGTCCCCAGTAGTTTTTCATTTTTGAACTTAGATCCTTTTCCACTAGGGCCACAGAATTAATCAATTTATAATAATTAGGGTATATTTTACAATGCCTTATTAAGACTATGTTAGCGCAACTGATACATAATATATTACTTCTGCGGCAGAGGCCATCAAACGGCGTAAATATTCAAATCTAGTGGGTAGCTACTGTTTTGAGCCGTTTGGGGTCGAAACACTTGGGCCATGGGGTCCCAGTGCACACTCTGTGTTTAAAGATATCGCCCGTAGGCTAATCGACTCTACACGTGACCAGAGGGCTGGCTTTTTCTTCGGACAGAAAATAAGCATTGCCATTCAACGTGGCAATGCTGCCAGTCTTCTGGGAACGTTCCCCTGTGATAGTGATGCGGACGAATACTTTGACGCCTAAATTAAGGGTATAATTTTTGTTGTATTTTTTTTACTTTCGTTTTATTTAATAGTTTAGTTGTAGTTATTTTTAAGATATATTAGATAAGTCAAATCAACCACCAATTACAATTTCAAAAATTAAAAGAATCTTAACAGAGTGAATTAATCTTGTATATATATATTTGCATAAACTTTAACTTGCAACCATGTAAGTTCAATAAGTATCCATTTACAAGTTCCTTAACTGTGTAATATTTACAATAATTTACATTTTAATAATAAATCAATAACATGATTGAATTATATTAAATCTAATTCCAAATTATAATGGGTCCGAACATGCGCTTTTTATTAGTGATTTTTTTCATATTTTAATGACATTAGTGGAGATCGAATAAGGATACAGCATCTCCTAAAACTAAGTACTACTTAGAAATAATAACTTAAAACTACATAACATAGTGTGATTTGGTTTTAATAAGTGGATCATAACCTATTTATATTTGTACATTTATATAGTGGAGTACACAATTGTTTGATATTAGCCAGCTAGTATCATATATCATAATAGTAATAGTTACTTCAATAAAATATTAGAATTTAAACATACTTATTAGAAAATCTTCGAAACAAACTTGGAAATTGACTCTTGAACTTTCTTATTTTCTACCAAAATTGGGAACCTCTTTTAAGCTAGCAACACTGTGAGTGTTGCCAGTTACAACTGTAAAAATGTTACTAAAACTTTACGTATCACTTAAATACGTTATCAGAGTATTTATAAGCTTATCCTAAAATATAGTTTTAACTTAATTTCGACAAGTTCACAGTCTAAGTTAAATTCAAAAATATTAATACTCATTTAGTGTCCGTCTGGACGTTGAATAATCTTAAGAATATAAAAATATATGATTCCTAAGTTATTATAGCCACTGTGACATTATTTACAACTTAGAAGGGGCCCCGGGTGAGGTTGTGGTTACATAATATTTTGAAAAGGTTCGTATTATGGCTATTAATTCAAGTGAGACTGGTATTATAATAATTTATTTCATTTTTAATTCTAGCTTTTATTAGGTAGATATTAAAAAGGAAACTTAACATATTCTCATGTGAGTGGTGTGTACTTATTGTAATTTAAGTAAATTAGATAATTTCGTTTTATACTACAACATACATAATAATTAGTCAAATAGGTAAAACATGATTTTTCTTCATAATTATATAACGCAAGTTTCACATGTACCTAATTACCAAACAGCGAACATTTTCCAAAATTTTACCAAGTTCTACACAAACTACCATTTTCTGGTAGTTTTTTACCTTCTACCAATAAGCCCCTACATTAGGACAAGTACTATCAAACTGTCTATCCGAAGTAGTACGTCATGAACGCCATGATGACGATACCTGATACAAGAGCTCCCAAATGTTTGAGTGACTGCATCTTGTCAGGTTCTCTCAGTAAGTCTGGCAACACCGTCACTAGTGCGATGTGTAGGAAGCCTCCCGCTGTGAATGGGACTATCCAGGATGTTTTTGCCTCTGTAAATTATTATGAAACGTTAGATGATATTTAGGAATTTAATTTAATTATACGAGATTTGAAATCCAGTTTCGTTTAGTAAAAATATGTAACAATTTTATTTCAGACACAACGTGTTTGTTATATTATTATAAAAACTGCATTTTTGGCTTTATTACAAAACTTTAATGAAGTTTGTCTTTACGAATATAACATAATAGTAAAAATTACGAGAGTCTTAGTAGATAGTAGCAATGTAAAATATATGAGTCTCACCAATAGAGTTCCTGGCTCCACTGAAGATCACAGCTGTCATGGCGCCGATAAGACCAGCTGCTGCCGTAGCCTGGAATTAGACAAGCATCAACTATTAATTACGTAGTTTAGAATTTTACATAAAAAAATCTAAGTTATTTAAAAATCTTAATTATTATTAACAACAAGTCATTGCTTGATTAACGACCTCTTGAAGATAGTTGATATAATTTCCACACTTAGTAGACAGGTGGGAGATCGTATACAATATTTATTAGTAGTTGTTAACTCACCAACTGCGCTTTAGCCGCCTCCCACCGCGAGAAGCCACTCTTGAGCAAGATCGCAAAGTCTCCAACTTCATGAGGAATTTCGTGCACTGTAATTATACATTTCATTATATAATTATTTAACTGAGACTGCCTCGTTGGTCGAGTGGTCACAAGGTTAAGGTCGGGCTAAGTAATACAGGGCTATTGAAAAATTTTCAATAGTAGCAGGGAGTTTGGAATTGTCTCCGGTATATGGCAATAGGCTCACCCTCTATTACATAGGACTTATAACATAAATAATGAGAAGTGGGTGTCACAGTGGCATTAACTGCCGTAATATGCACCTCTGCTTTTCCTATCAGGGATAAAAAACATGATATTATGTTATTATTTAACTGACGAGTATTATATTTCAAATATGGACATTCACCTCTGCCCTTTGTAATATTATGACGACCAATTATTGGGTCAGATTTACACAAAATGTTATGTGTTTATCGAAACCGATAGATATGCATCATTGTTTGTGTTTGCGAATCACTTGAACTCGCGGATAAATGGCTAATGCCCGGTTCCTATATTTAACGAATCGTCGTGGTATACGAACTACTATTCGTTTTTCGAGTACCAACAACGAGTCGTAAATAGTGTTCCACAATTTATATTCTTTACCTGCTTTTGACGAACGTCCGTTGGTCATAAAAATACCGAGCCCTCTTGACTCCAGATGTTCCACATGTTGCGACAAACGTGCGTTTCGTTATAAGCAAAATTTAAACTCAAAATAACACAACATTTAAGATAAAATGAGTTAGATTTACATACCAATTAACCTTAATTAGTTTTATAAGATGTGTAACTAACTAAACCATCGCAGGCATTTGCGTGATGAGTTTTTTTTACTTCCCAAACATAATTGAACACAGCTTACACTAAAGGAATGGAACGTTGTGACAATCAAGCGCGCGCTTGACATCTGTCAAACAGATAAAATTTCAAAATTTCAAATTTCAATTCTTCTACCACTTCTGTTTTTTATAAATTTACGCTGTTAAATTCGATACCTGTGTGAAATCAACTCATTGTTTGAAATGGATATTAAACTGTCAAACACCAAGCGGTCACCGGTGACCGCAACCTATTGTTCTATAATTGTGTCTACAAAACCGGTACTCGACGAGTTAAGGGGTTTAGGAGTGGTGGTAAAATTAAATTTCAATTTATATAATTTCAATTTATTTTTAGTTAAGTATGTTATATTTTTATAGGGTGTACAATACTCACTAATGCCTCCAAAATACTAACCTGGATCCTGTTACCCTTATATGTAGATAAATTATAAGAAGTAACTGTTCAGTAGATTCTTTATCGAGTCGAAATCTCACTTCACTCTTTCTTTATAAATTCTATCACGCCTATTATCTTCTTCCGAATCAGTGTCACTGGAGTTTGATATAATATCGAACATTTCTCTATCACTATCTGAACTCGACATTTTAAAATTTAAAAGCGATAAACGCAAAAATAGCGAACTTACTTTAAAAATTCTACTCTAACCGACCGACATCGGCAGGTAACCAAATGACATTACGAATAGTTATCTTGACAGTCTACGGACGGTTAAAATATTTATAGGAACACCATACACTCTCATCTCTATACAAAACACTTACCGGTACCCTCTCATCCGTTAGTTGCAAGCCGTCCGTAAGTTGTACAACGAGACGTTTTTTATAGGAACGGTTTTGGCTTACGCCTCGTATAAAAATCTACTATTCGTAACTAAAACGGATCGTTTCTCAATTATAGGAACCGGGCATAAGTCCCTTGTACTCCACGATACTGACAATTTACATTTAGGTAATACTGTCTGATTCGGGAATCGAACCTGTGAGCTCTATATCCACTAGAGTTAGTTTTATTACTATAAAAATCAGGATAATAATAAAACCACATACCTAATATAGCGAAGGTGGTAAGCACGCCGACTCTGAACCCTACAAGGAAGGAGCCGCCCACCGCCAGTCCGTGCGTGAAGTTGTCTATCGAGTTCGCCATCAAGTTCAAGTAGCCTGCCACCTGGAAAAGTAGATATGAGAGTTAGTAATAATGTATTGCTCATTATTCTTATTTATCATAATCATTATTAATCATGTCGTATGACGGTATCTTCCTAGATTTTCATAATTCAGTCTTTTTTAAAAACGTTGCCCCACTCTAGGATTTTCTCCTGTGTCGTGGGTACGTTTACGAACATACAAGTTCACATACACATGACACCCAGACCCGAAACAACAATCTGTGGATCACGCAAAAGTTCCGTGCGGGAATCGAATCCGCTATACGTTGCGCGGCAGCCAGTTACCCAAACACCACGCAAACCGAAATTTCTAATAGGACCCTGTATTACATAAAGTTTTGAAACCGAAAACGTAGTAAAACTTGGTACTTATTCGGGTGTCATATGTATAACAAATAGTAGATATATTCAACTTACCCATCTAATAATTCATTATATACTTTAAACTCTTTAAACTTTTATTGCAATAGTCCATTTCTATTTTATACCACGTTTAATACGGTAAAAAGGGGTGAATAGAATTCGAGAGGTGAATAGATACAGAAGAGGGGTGAATAAATATTTAGAAAACGTTCTAATATTTATTCACCCTATTCCTGTATCTAATAATTATATTCACCTCGTGTTACGGTATTTATTACGATTACTTTTTTTAACTTTTATTTTATACTTCATTAGCTTTTTAAATACCACGCCGGTGGCAAATAAAACACACGGCCCACCTGATGGTAAGCGCGGTTACCGTGGCCTATGTACGCTTGCAACACAGGGAGCATTACATGCGCCTTGCCGACCCTTAAAATTAGTTAATAGTATCCAAGTTAGAATAATAATTATAATAACCAACTTACATCTTTCTTATTACTCTTCTCCTTTGTGGCTTTGAGCGCTTGTTCCCGCGCCTCCCTGAGCAGACAGCGCCCCATCCAGCGGTTGCCCTTGTTGTTGCAGCGGACTGAGCCATTCTGGTTGACTACTGAGTTGCAGCATACACCTGTATCCGAAGAAACGTTTGTTTAGTTAATGAGTAATGTATTTGTTACTTGTTTATTTAATAAGATTGATGACTGTTTATGAAGCGAAAGAGGTATGTAGGAATCGTAGCAACGGGGATGATGACAGGGTATGAAAATTAAAAATATAATTAGTCCGTAACTTAGGTAATAAAAAAATATTAGACACGTATTTTTTTATTTTGTTGTATAATAAAACAATACTTAGATAAAACGAATCAAAGTTTAGGAGTGGGGGCTAAAACGTCATTTCTTAGTATAAAATGTACTGAGAAGTGACGTCACGCGACATTTCAAATCAATATATCTTCGAAACTATTCGTTTCCGTAAGAAAATAAAAAATACGTGTCTAATGTTCTTAAATAATCTACCAGACGGACATTAAAATAAAAATTAGTCGTCTACCCCATTGGCGTTCCATAGTCTCTGCCTAGCTCCATGGGAGACAGGCGTGAAGGTATGTATGTAATATGTATACTATTAAACTGTCAAATACCAAGCGGTCACCGGTGACCGCAACCTATTGTTCTATAATTGTGTCTACAAAACCGGTACTCGACGAGTTAAATAAACTGCATTTTCTTTCTTTCTATAAATTATTATTATTTAGTCATTAGATAAAGGGACAGATTATTTTTTGAATAGCAGCAGTTATTTACTTTAATTTTAATGTTACGATCTAGTTTAGATTTTTTCGCTCGCGTTCTTATGTAATAAGTAGAGTAACGAAAGAAGTATACAGAGCGGATATGAATAGGGTCGTCGGTAGAGGGCGCCCTAGATGGACATATACTGACCAGATTGGCGATATATTAAAGAAGGGCCAAAGTACCCTTAACCGACGAGCATGCATGAAAAGATTGATGACTGTTGATGAAGCGAAAGAGGTATGTAGAAATCGTAGAGATTGGCGTTCCATAATCTCTGCCTACCCCCATTGGAAACAGGCGTGAAGTTATGTATGTATGTATGTTCCTATGTGATAAAAAGTAGTGAAGGAGTTATAAACAAAGATTTAATAAAATCGCATTTATAATATTAGTGGGACGGTAGGATTGAATACAATATTTGTGCTACATTTATTATAGAAGGACAAAGAGGTCTACCGCAAAACCACAAAACAACTAGAAATTCCATTCATGATTTATGACATTCGTAAGAAAATAATATTCTACATACATATAGGTCATTGCAAACGTGGACATGTTATTGTTGGTAGCTATTAAGGCTTTCGGTCTCGATACATTTTCGAGTCCCCGGAAAAAAATCGATACTCGGTTCGGTCCCGAGACTAGGAATTTTCGAAAGCCCTAATAGCTATCAGAAAAAAGTTAGTATTGCATGTCTTCTATATAACATAACATCACGCCTTTTATCCCCAAAGGGGTAGGCAGAGGTGCACAGTACAATGTAACCCCCACTTTTCACTATTTATGTTATGAGTCCCATGAAATAGGGGGTGAGCCTATTGCCATATACCGGGCACAATTCCAGACTCCGTGCTACTACTGAGATGTTTTTATAAACCCAGTAATACTTTGCCCGAACCGGGAATCGAACCGGAGACCCCTTGTCCAGCAGTCGCACTTGCGACCACTCGGCCAACGAGGCAGTCAATGTCTTCCATAAACGATATAAAATACAATAAGTAATAGTATACTAAACTAAGTCGCTATAACATTGATACTATACTCTTGGCCTTAACCTTGAACAGTAAAATCAATAACAACGCAAGCTTACCTTTAGTATTATTATTGAAGACGCAGGTATCGTACAGTTCCTTGGCACTCACAATGCCATTGCTATCACAGATTCCCTCACCAATACTCTTTCCTCTCTGCCTCCTCTCAACTCTCAGGAGTTTCTCAATCTCTTCTATTTCAATTTCTTTTATTTTAGCGGAACCATTTTGTTTTATAGTTTCCTGTTCTTTCGATTCTTCTTCTTCGTCTTCATTTTCTGTGGCTGCGAATAGTTTTTCCACTACGATGAAGACTAGCATTCCTGTGAGGCACCATAGTCCGCTTTTTAGGGAGACGTGTTCGCCAGCTGTAACAAAATGTTGGAGGAAATTAGGTTAGGAATTTTTCGATTATATTCAGTAAACTAGCTTTAGCCACCGCTTTGTCCGCGATCCCGTGGAATAAAAACTAGCCTATCAACATATATATAGATTTTTTTAAAGGGTGGAAAATCATCGAATGACTGCTCCCGCCTGGGTGAGGCGGGAGGGAGTGTCAGACTCTTACTGACTAAAAACCACCCCGTTCCTTATCCTACACGTCGAGTCGGAGCCCCGGTTACCCGTTAGGTTCTCCGCGACAGATATATGTAGATTAAGGTCTAGAATAACAATTTTAGACCATATTCTACATCTGTTCTGTTCATTCCGATCGCTTCAGCCGTTTTGATTTGATTGAGTAAAAAACACACACAACCTTTCGCATTTATAATATTTTTTAGCTTACGAAATGCAATTAACAGAAGAAGATCTATTGGTTTAGCATTTTCTATTTGACTTACATAAGAAGAAACGAACAGGGTATCATTAGTCAATTTCTATTAAACGTTCAACTCCAAATTCACTGGTGATCATAAACTCAGAAATATCTATAAAGATAATTGTGAAAGAGAGTAAAAGAGACAAATTAAACACGCTTTTGTGGCATGTATTCTACAGACTACTACTTTTTACAGAATTTGGATAACTTCTTGGCGGGAAAACAATCAATATCCGAGAGCGCAGTACAGAATTTGTTGCCGGCGTCCAGCTGATTTCTTTAAGAAGGGTATCAATAAACTTCCACTGCTGTGGCAATGATGCATTGACTGTATGAGTGATTTCCTTGAATTAATACAAATAAAAAATCATGAAAAAAATCGTTTAATTGTTTTCATACGAAACGGCAATTTCATAAGGTAAATAATATATTAACTACATAATACATTACTTGAACACACAAACTTCTTATATTAAGTGCCATTGTTATAATTCAGTATTGTGACCAACAAATAGTTATTTTGAATAACAAAATAAATTATTGTGGTTTACAGTTACACAAATTTTTTTGGCGGGTAAAAATCCATGCAATGGCTTCTCCCGCCTTGGGTTAGGCAAGAGGGAATGTCAGACTCTTACTGACTAAAAACCACCCGTTCCTACTACTATTCTTCGAGCCGAAGCCCCGGGAACCCGTTAGGCATTCCGCGGCAATTACACGATATAAAAATCAGATTTCGCAATGATGACCGAATATGTGTAATATCTGGTGCAACCGGAGAATTGATTCATGAAATGAAGATTACTATTCTTTTTAAACTGATTCGTGTTTATCATCATTATGACACTGGACAAGCCCGTCCCAATTTATTAACCGTTTCTTAACCAATTTCAAAAAAGAAGGAACCTTATAAATCCTCGTTCCATAAGATCTCCACTTGGATCAAGTTGGATCAATCTGACAATATTCTTCCTGTCATTCCGGTTTGAAGTTATTTATCATCATCGTCAGGCGGAATAGGCACTCTACTGCTGAACTTGCGTGGGCAGGCCTCCCGCTAGGTGAACCGAAGACATCTCCATAGTTGCGGGAAGCCAGTGGATACTGTTGGCGAATTGTTGTTCGACGTGGAGGACTAAGGGGGAGGCTTTTGTCCAGCAGTGGACGTCTTCCGACTGTTCATGATAATAACTGCTGAACTTGAGTTCTCTTTTAAAGAAAGAATTACTATGATCCCTACCAACACGTACATACCTACTCTACAATTTAAACTTTAAAGAATTCTGCTTTGCGTGTTCCTTAGGTATTTTTAGAACATAACCGAGCTCAATAAATCTTATATCATGCATGTAATGCTGCTTCTAAGAATGTCTCGAAACGACTGCAAAAAATGATAATGTGAACATCAAACTTAAACTTTATAGTCTAGACATTAACATAGACAATGAGACGATAACAATAAAAAAATAGATTGAAATATGCATAGTGATAACCTCCAAGAGTTAACAACATAATCTCGTCTCATCATACAATTACACGTAAACAATAAAACACACAAATAATTACTATTGCAACGGATAGTTACCGAGATTGATCGACCATATGACTCATAATATTTACTTTTTACTACCAGCATAGCACTACTATCGAGTTGGAACACAAAACTTCCGTCTAAGACAAACGACTTTGCACTTTATTTACATAGACGTAAAGTAGTTAATGTTGATTCATGTGCGTGTTGACACAAAACCTCAACCTTCTGTAGGTAGGTATATAATGAGTGCGCGTGTGACGATTGTCATTGTTATATCAGAAATTAGTGGAATGAGTAGGTACTTCGTTACGATTAGGTATGATATGATGGATCACAAACCATTATAATTTAGTGCATTTATCTTTGATTGTTTTACCTAACTCGTGTTATATTCGATAAGAATCGATGTTCTTATAATCTCTTCATTGATTGGTATTGTTGATTACGTCTTGAAACATTTTTTAAGGGGTGAAAATCATCGAATGGTTTCTCCCGCTTGGCTGAGGCGGATGTCCTGTAGCGTGAATTCTCTTACTGGCTAAAAAACACCACGTTCCTACTCCTGCCCTTCGGGTCGGAGCCCCGGCAATCCGCTAAGTCCTCCGCTGCGCCGTATCGGCATCAGCCCTATTGGGCCCCATCCGTGGTGGTCTGATGGCTCTTTGAGGCGCACGCGAAACGCGACGTCTTGAAACATTTGCAACTTGAATTTATGTAGTATTTTTATGTCAGTGATTAATATTGATTAAGTACTTTAATCATATCTACAATCGGTTCATTCCGTAAGTATTAGGTTAACTTTTGAAGATTTAAATTATTAAATATTGAGTGTGCATGACCTAAATATTATTTATTTCATAAACTAGTTTCGTGTTTACGGTTCAGTAAAATGTTTTACATGTGTGAATAAATCATTTTTCTAGGAAAAATGATAATATCGGTTATTGAATCTTAACTAGGTCCGACTGAATAACTAGGCTACTGAAGACGTTAGTGACATGGTTATCAATTTATTCTGGCTTGTACCTACCCAAACAAAAATGAACTTTATTAACTATCCATCACATATTAATTTGGTCTGGTATTTCCATTAAAAATTAGGTCATGCATTCATTAAGGATCTCGATAGTGTAAATATAGTAACTATGAATGCACAATCTTTGCTTAGCTCGGTTCAACATCCTCGTCCACCGAGTTACACAGCTGTTCGTGTATTTATATTACTACCGCGTCATGCAAAAGCAATTCGATTCACAATGTAAAGGTATTTCCTCCAATGACCGCAACCGCATATAGTGATTAGCAGCACGAAACCTCAACATAAGCAAGTAAATAAACAATTAGAACAACTGCAATCTTTGTTTACTTAATTATAAATAAACAATATTTTATTAAAACTTATCATAAGGAAAATAAATGCATTTTCTCTCATTCAAACCGGTTTAATGTTACCTTTAGGAGTGGCGCCACTAGCGAAAACGGGTGTCAGTATTATTCACGGTTCCTTAGTGATTTTAGTTCCATATTTTGCCATGGTTATTTATGCTGGGTGTAATGTGAACGTAAGTATTATTATGCAATATGCAATATTAATAATTATACTAGGTTATCGTTTTCAATGACATTGAACGGCGTGTCGGTCATTCAATGCAGGTGTTTCGACGAGCCAGCGAAATTGTGGGAAATACGGAAATCAGATCTGTGTTGTTCAGTTCACTTGTTTACATCTTCTGTTTCTATTAAAGTTGTAGCATTGTTTAGATGTTTTGTGCATTATTATTGCAGTTAAATGAATTACTTGCGTTGTCTAAAAAAGTAATTAGATAAATAAGTACTGTAGTTAGTACAGAAAGCAACTAGGATTTCTGGACATTGGAGTGTTAATCTCAAAATTCTGACAACCGTTGGTGTCGCTACTGAGTTTCACTAGAAATAGAACTACTCAGAATTGCCTTAAGAATCCTGATTACTATAATAATGTAGCGTGAATTCTCTCTGCATAAAAGGGAATAATAACTACATAACAAAATATACAGCCAATAAAATATCTCAAACATTTCAAAATAGCGCATTGATATTTTCAAACTGTCAATGTAACTTTTTTATCGACAGGGAAAACCTTCAGCTCTGTATAATAATTACGAGTACATACGTGATGCTAACATTGACAATGGACTTAACTCGCGTTATCTATTTGCATACAACTACTACCTACTGTTTTATTTGCGTTGGAATTTTTAACATTCTTTTATAGGCCTTCACCTTTCAACTACGGGAACAATTAGCCTGACGAAGTGTTAGAACGAAATTGTGTGTAATTTCATTGTCAGACTGACTTTACGCTTCAAAAGTTCCTGGATGTGAATTAATTGAACTTTCTGGAATTCCAACATTTCTTCTGTGTTGGAATTTTGACCTTGATAGTCTAAATCAGTAAACCAATACGAAAGGAATAGCTTTATTAACAACAGTTATCGAAGTAATCAAGACTCCCGGGCGTTAACCATTGGATTCGCAAGTATGAAGATAAGACAAGGATTCTTACACGTTCCCGAAGTTCTTTTTAAACTGTAAAAGAAAGATATCATCTAGCTTATAGAATAAGTTAATTTCTTTTTCATAGCAACTGAGAATCTCATTCAAAAGGCATTGTTTGTATGTAGAGGAAGTGACATTGTGTATAACAACACCTATTGTCTGTTTTTGAAGAGCGCCAGTAGTTTTGTGTAACATCAGGAAGCAGTACTTGTTTGTTTCTTTATTAAACCATAAAAACTAGTCATAAAATGTTGTTAACTTTTTACGCGTATCACGAAGGATATTGAAACAAAAAAAAATCTCAAGTGGTCTCAAAATCTGGTAAGATGAATATAAGACAATGTGGTATCGGTTATAAGACTCGTATATAAGACACAGTGTTACTTATATTCGATAATATTTGCATCTTTTTAACCAACTTACATTACGGTATGAAGTTATTCTAGTCAGCGGATAGAAATCAAGTTTATTGAAGTTTATAGAAAACGTTTCACTTTAAAATAATCACACGGTTCTACATGAACTTTATTACGTTTTTCTCCTAGTTTATTGTCTGAATTGTGATTTATATTGTAGAACTGCTCCTGCAAGTCTAGAAATAACAGAACATGACAAAAGTTACTCACGTTTAGTATTATTTAAATCATTCTGCCACGCTTCTGGAAGGAGATGTAGGAACACGTCGCCCAATAGTCCACCCACTGCAAAACTCAGCAGTATCCTTAATGTTGAGGCTCCAGCTGAAACAAAATAAAATGATCAGATTATAGACATTATAAATAGTAAAGAAAAACACAGTAGCCACAAGACATCTACTGTTGAACATAAGCTTTCCAAATTCCCAATGACTTCTGGACTGGCTAATTTAAGTGGCCTGCATCCAGGGCTCCCTGCGACCATTCTAGTAAGTCATTTGTTTACCTTGGAGGTAGACAGTAATACAATAATCTAATGAGGGAGGGATTATACATTTTTGCTTGTGTGACGCCCTCGAGCCTAATATAAAAGAACACAGAAACATAGTTCATGACATTGCGTGGACAGTGGGTAATTTTCCAAAAATAGTCATATTCGCTTATCGGTTACATTTCGTGAAGACTTTTTACATCCCATGTTATCCCAAGTTAAAACAATCGTGATACACATCCATCTGACATTAATTGCATATCATATCAGTGAACGAACTATTCGAAGGTCGACAGATATCAGCGTATAGTTTCTTAGCAACAATAAGCTGTCAGTATGACTGTATCACGGGATCGCAGTGTGCTATCTAATCACTAGAAGTACTGACTACTGATACACAAGGGTCATTGCTTATAGGATTTGCGATCGACCGTGGCCGCGCTTAGATTGTTATTTGTACTAGGAATACTAGTAGAGATTTGTTTGTTGTGGGGCATGAAGTGGTCAATTTAAAGTGTGGGACGCCATGCTTCGGCTCGAATGGGCCGGCTCGACCGGAGTGATACCACGGCCTCACAGAAAACCGACGTGATATAAAGCTTGCGTTGTGTTCCGTCGTGTGAGTATGATTACAGGAGGTCCAATTACCCCCTTCCCCAATCTCCCCAATCCCTGATTTCCCAACAATCCCAATTCATAATCCCCAAAAGGCCGGTAACGCACTTGTAACGCCTCTGGCGTTCAGGTGTCCATGAACGACAACCATTGCTTACCATCAGGGATCCGTCAGCTCGATTACCGGGTTATCCCATAAAAAAAATCTAAGGAGGAATATTACAGTTCTATTTATAAGCTGTTTAGTCGGTGCGCAAAAATAATGTTCAATGCAAACATTCACTTCATGTAAAGGTGCGTTCGGAATTATGGGAAAATTTGCGAGCGATTTGCTAAACGTTAAGGCATCACAGAATAAATAAAGAATAGGTAATATAAGAGTAAACATTAATTTATTAGTTTCGAGTTTCGACAGCGATGGTTAATAGTAATTTTAGTTTAGACGTCTTTAACCAAATCTTTAAAAATCAATGAAAGACCTGATACGGAAATAATCAACAAATGAAAAGTTTACAAAGTGCATCAATAAGTGATATAGCAGGATTATTTATGTATATAACTATCATTTCATTTAACTACCGGATTTACTGAAGAGCATTGATAGGGTAACAGCTCAAATAAATACGTATTCATTTATTGTGACATCGTACAAGGAAGAGTAAGATCAAATTAGTTACATAATTTGTAATTTTTAAAGGAAATGGCCTAACAATGGTCGAAATTATTCTACGGGTGTTCCAAAGGTCTTAAAACCAATTTCAAATAAGAAAATAGTTACAAATAAGTTAATTATTCCACAACATGTAGCACGCGCCTTACTTATTATGTATTGTGTACCCAATTAAATTTACATTAAGAGATAAATATTATCAGCTCCTATTTACTTGTCGATTACCGCTGTGATTTCTGCGATAACATCGATTGGTTTTATCGTAATTATTTTAAGTGTCATAAGATGTGTATAAGCCCTAAGGCGTATAGTTTGTTTTTAAAAAATTAACATCAACAGCGTATAAGTGGCCACTGCTGACCAAAGGACTCTTCTCACATGGAGAAGGTTTGAACATTAATCACCACGCTTGCTCAATGCGGGTTGGCAATTTCCAACTTATGATGAGAAATTATAAGCTTAGGTTTTCATGCGATGTTTTCCTTTGGATTTGGGTAGAGGTTAAACTGGAATCAAATTCTAAACCTTCTCTGGACTTCCACGAACGAATTTCAAGACCAAAATTAGCCAAATCGGTTCAGACGTTTTCAAGGTTTAGCGGGACTAACGAACGGAAATTCATTTTTATATGTATAGATTCCAGTCACCGCGCCGCAGGTCGCGGAATGCTGCTCATGAATATGAGCCTGGCTTGAAACTAGTCGAGTTTCTCGTCAAATAATTACGTGAGTAAGCTGAAAAACGTATTTAATTTAGTATGTCGCACGAAACATATAATATAGATACCTTTATTACAGTGGATAAGGCAAATTTTCACAATAATGGTTTTTTTAAAGACATTTATGGAAACAAATAAAACCTGGCTACTACTTTAAGATAACTTCTGTCGACACTCCCTAACGATAAGACGATAAAATACAGATTCAAGTACAATACCAGATAGACAATCGGGCAACTGTCATTATTAAAGTAACGAGACTGGTAAAACTTAGTTATCGGACATTTTGCACTGTAGCATCAGATAATGGAGGCGATATCACGATGGATCGTGGGGAAATCTTAACATCTTGGGCATGAATAAATTGCAGTCTTCGACGTGGTCGTGTCGTGGTCCAAAATATTTTAGAGTGCATCTGACATGAGTTGTGACGTTTGTTTATCTATATCCGCATTGGTTTTTGGGAAGGAGTGCAATAAAGACATCATAACATTATTTACTTTATTACACATTGGTACCATGTCCTCACTTCTATCTCCCGTTGTAGTAGCTAAGGACAATCGCGAGGAAAGCGGCATGACGTTTTCGCTTCTTCTTCAAAATGAAACCATTTTATTCAATTATTCCTTAATCCGACACTTTTGAAACATCAAAATTGAATTGTCCGTCAGTCTGTCTGTCAGTGAAGCTAAGTGCTAATTGCACCAATCTTTTATTCTCTTTCATAAACGCTGTTTAATTAAGGAAACTTTTCTTTTAGCTCTTTATTTACACACACATTTACAGAATGTAATTAATTAGTAAGTATTTCGGCCACATGTTTGCTGACCCGTGACGTTCCTACATGCGAGTGTATCTCCAATTGTCTGCTATCAGTACAAGTAACTCATCACGTAGAGATAACGCGGATAACGGTAGTCACTCGTAAATACTACTACTTAGTAAGGGCCAGTCAACTTGTCAATATGGCATAATATTTCCGTTACCTTTTCGTACACAATGTAACTATACACTTCTTCAAAATTGGGTAGACAGAGGTGCATATAATATATTTCTACAAATCAAATTGCATGGTCGCAAGTACGACTGCCGGGCCCCCTCGCCCGGCGGGTCCACACCTCTCGGGTTCGATTCTCGGGTCGGGTAACGTACTACCAGGTCTTTAAAAAAATCTCTGTAGTAGTTCGGGGTCTGGCTGGAATCGTGCCCGGTATATGGCTATTGCCATAGGCTCACCCCTTATTACATGGGACTCATAACATAAATAGTGAAAAGTGGTTACATTGTACAGTGGCATATAATGTGTGTACACCTGTGCCTACCCCTTCGAGGATAAAAGGCGTGATGTTATTGTTTACAACGGACAGTCGGTCACCAATCCAATCCGAATATTTTCAGATATTATTTTATGTATCAGGGTTCTGACATCGCTTCCGAACCCTCTTGACAACCAATATTATCAGCCGGAAAATAAGTTAGCAGTATCATTGTTCGAAAGACATGCTTTGATATTTTAGTCGAAGGAATGTTGGCTAGGTAACAGCCACGTGGATTTATCTTGGGAACCAGCTAACTTTATATGCCTAGCTATTTATTGGCCATGCACTACAAATCGGACTAGTTCCATATATACTTTATTACAGTCATTCATATTGCGATTGATGCTTGTATTTGTAACATTTAGTATCGACTGTACTGTAGTACCTACGTTACCTTGTCCGATCTAATGACATAGGTTGAAAATAAATAATAAATTTTCTTCATATAACTAAAATCAAAATTAATATTTAAACTATGCATACTTTAATAAAACGAAAGATATCTCTGTATTTTTTTAAGGGGGGAATATCATCGATGGCTGCTCCCGCCTGGGTTAGGCGGGAGGGAGTGTCAGACTCTTACTGACTAAAAACCACTCCGTTCCTACTCCTGCACTTCGAGGCGGAGCCCCATTTGGCCCCATCCGTGGTGGTCTGATGGCTCTTTGAGACGCGCGCGGAACGCGACGCGCCAGATATCTCTATATGGTTTTGTTATTATGTTAGTATTGTTGATAAATTAATACATTAACATTATCAGACCCTAATAGGACATACCCCTACATAGACATATTGTGGTCACGGCAAACCACACGCGTCGATAAGCTGTAGCAACAATATAAACATTGTTTTTTTTCTTAGAACCAAGTCTGGCTTATTGGTGATATGAATGCAAATAAATTAATAAGAACAATTGACTCGTCCTGTCGCCATCGGTCCATCACATTGCTTACAATTCATTTGTTTTAACTTTTTATTTACACACTCGTAAAATATTATTTTTATTAAGGTTTTTGCATAAGTTAAAAAAGAATAGGTGATTTGTTAACATTATTATTATTATAGTTTTTGTTGTTTGTTTTTAACTATAACGATTCTGAAACAACGGTCCAGTTATCCTCGGCAAATAGAAAAAGTATACGACTCATCTTGGGATGACATAAAAACTTCGGCGAAACTATGTAATGTTCAGCCGCGGTTGCTTTTTATTTTATTTCGCAATTAAACGCTTCGGAATTGTTGCTGTTTTTGTTGTTCGCTTCGCCTACTTACTTAATTTCAGGTACTGCATGTCAATCGAAGCTTCGAGAATTCTACTAACTTTATTGAGGTTAAGATCAATGTTGTTTAACACATAACATCGCGCCTTTTTATCCCGAAGAGATAAGTAGAGGTGAACAACAATTTTCACTATTTATGTTACAAGTCCCATGTAATAGGGGGTGAGCCTATTGCCATATACCGGGCACATTTCCAATCTTGTATAACTTCTAAACAATAGAGTTTATAAGA